GTATCCAGTTAAACACAGTCAGTTTTGGAACGTTAAATAGTTGAGAAAGAGAACGCATGTTAATTGTATTACTGTAATTTCTGTAGTATTTCTTACCTGAATAAAAACTTACTTAACCTGAAAAACGTAGTTTCATAGCTCTCTTTATTCTATTGCATTTATTTGTGCTGTTGTTTGCCATTTTTTTATTTGTTCTTATTTTATTACTGACTTTTTACTTGTGTTTTTTAATGAAAATAAAACTTTGCGTTAAAGAAGAGTAGATTTTTGTTCGTATATGCTGTCAATAATAGTTATTAGAAAGAAAATCGGAATCGGCAAAAATCGGTATCGGCAGATCACATTAATGAAAAATCGGAAATCGGAATCGGCCAAGAAAATTGCAATCGGTGCAATCTCTATATAATGCACTATAACTTTCAGGCAGCATTCAGTACATATTGTATAAGAGTGCCTACACAGAACTCATTCACTAACAGCACAAACACACACACACACACACATTTACTCGCGAGCGAATGAATGCAACAGTCTGCTTGAGAAAGGCTCTTTAAAGGTGCACCAAGCAGGATTTTCAGTAACTGTTTTTAAACACAAGATTCAAACTTGGTCCCTCCTACACCGGCAGAAGCTCAGAAGATGAGTGAGGAGGTGTTTCGCAAAAATTTTTTCAAATATTGTGTTAATCATTCATTATTGGCATTTTTGTGTATACGAACGAATAGTTATGCTAATAATTAGATGACTGGCTGCAATTTGCAAGGGAGTTTGGCCATCCACAGTCTAGCTCGCTAATAAACAATAATTATGTGTCATCATAAAAGCATAATTACAATGCCTAGTAATCTGTCCAGTTACAGATAGCAATCAATAAGGCAAAACATGTTTTTGTGTTAAAACATGACAACTGGCCAAAGGTTGTGATCCAGAAACAGCCCAAGCACAGCAACAGAAGAATAAAATAAGAAAATACAGGCAAACGACAATGACTCTGTAGACACACTTACATACTTATAGTGGATCATAAGTAGTAATTGGGAGGCATTATTTTTGTATTTTTGAGTCTATATTTTATTTTATATTTTTATTTTATTTTATTTTTGTGAAAATCCTTTATAGATCTAAAATACTATACAATGCAAAATAAAAATAATAATAATATGAATAATTAAAAAAAAAACATGATGTGAGGGCTTTTCATGAATCCAGACGCTGGTCTTGTTCAGGATACCTCATGTATCTCATTCATCTCTCAGTAGCAGTTTTGGAGAAGCATGCTCAAAACGCAGGTGAGCACAGGTCTGGTGTCCCTCATCGCGTGTCTCAAAGCTCTTGGTTAGGTATCAGAAGCCTTTTCATTGTTACACGCCATTACACATCTCCCTAATGCTTCCAAGAACATGCACTCTCTGGCCTGGCCCTCATGTTCGCTTCCCACTCCACTGCACACCAACCAGCTCCCACGGCCAACCGTCCATCAGTGAAGCCATCTGTGAGCTCACCAACAGCCCCACTGTCAGCCTGTTCAGAGCATGCTAATGTGCTTGTTTTAGCCAGTTTTCTTCATGTTCTCATGCTGTCCTCACTTCTCTGCATGCAACACTTTCTCCAGTGAAGAAGTAGTTGCAGACAGGCAGGTTACTGCACGGACGGAGGTTAGAGCTGTCTGGAGCAACACATGCTGACTGCAATGACACTTAATTAGGGAGTCAGACTATGTAACCATGTGGTAGGTGCTTGGAAACAGGAAGCAGTTATGACAGGGTTGCTTTAGTAAGAAACGTGCCCGCCAAAAGCTCTAACACAAGGGACAGTGATGCCTCTTAAATAACCCTCATCTTGATGACTGCTTATAGGCTGACGGTCATTACTCATTACGTATGTGATTCGTACAAGACCCAAAACATACTCTACACAACACAAGAGCTTCCAGCTACACAGGACTGATTTCATGTGTCACTGAGTTTCAAAATGTACAATTCATAACTCAGATGCTTTGTTAGATCATAAATGAACTATTACATAAGTACCATATTTTCTGCCATAAACATCACATTTTTCAACATCTGAAAAGTGCTGCGACTTATATAATGCAATTAACGGGCAAGCAAGCAAACTATGTGTAAAGTTCACACATTTGGAAAATGTTGAAAACTGAAATTGTTCAAAATAAAGTGATCCTGGCACACGTCGGCGCAGTTGTGACCTAATGGTTAGAGAGTCGGACTTGTAACCAGAAGGTTGTGGGTTCGAGTCTCAGGTCTGGCAGAAGTTGTTGGTGTGGGGAGTGAATAACCAGCGCTCTCTTTCACCCTCAATACCACGACTGAGGTGAGACCCTTGAGCAAGTCTCTGAACCCCTAACTGCTCCCCGGGTGCCGCAGCAATATGGCTGCCCACTGCTCCGGATGTGTGTTCACTACAGTGTGTGTGCACTTGGATGGGTTAAATTCTGAGTATGGGTCAACAAATTCTGGGTATAGGTCGCCATACTTCACTTTCACTTCACTTCATTGCAATACACATTAAGCGAGATGTAAAGATTGTGTTTGTGTGGAGCAGCATTTACTGTGAATTGAGCCGCTCTGCTACTGAAAACACCAGAACACAGTGTAAATAAACACAATGCCCTGATTCACTCAGAAAGCACTAAAGCTGTGGTCACATTTACTGTAGCTCTGTGAAATTTTGCAGGCAAAATCCTGTCATTTCAATTGGAATCTGCATGTTCAGGAGTTTCACATGATGGCAAAAAAGTTCTCCATGCACATTGCACTCATGTTCAAGTTGCGACATTTGCGACATTGCGTGCATTCTTGTCTTTTTCACAATGTTTCCACAAAAAAACTCATTCTAAGGTGGGAAGGCAATATTAGCTAATCAAAATGTATAATTCTGAGTCCAACTAATTTATCAATATGCATTCAGCTTTCTTATCATTATAGAATGCTGCAAATATCATCAGCATTTTTTAAAAGCTGAAGCATCTTAGGCTGCATAGACCAGAAAAAAAAGACCTGTGAAATCCTAAATGGACTGAAGGAGGCATGCTTCCAATGCCTTGACCAGTCATTTGTGCTTATGTACTTATGTAAATTATGTCTCTGGTACAACACTGCAGAGGTCTTTGGAAATATATTCACGGATGTACCCACACATCCTCAAAGACTTGACCATCTTCCGTGGCAAATGTCCAGTTGACAGGAAGATACACAAACATGATACACAAGATACCTTTGCCATCTGTGACCATCTAAGTCTGCCAGCTCTTGTGTCATCCTGTAGTTCTGCTCAATGATTCCCAAGAGCCAAAATGAAAAGATACACTTTTTAGGAACTTATATCATCAATTCTCATGTAAACATCCTAATTGTTGATTTTTTTTAACCATTGCTGCAGCATGGCTCTGACAAGTCATATTGTTCTAGCAAGTCAAGTTTTTAACCCAGATCTTGGAGAGTTTACTGTCCTGAAGACTTCAGTTCCAACCCTGCTCCAACACACCTGCCTGTCAAGTAACCCTAAAAACCTTGATTGCTGGTTCAAGTATGTTTGGGGTTGAAGATCCCGATATAATATCTTGGGAAAGGATGAGGTTTAGCAGAAATGGACAAGCAATGTTAGTTTTAATTTTGTTGGCCACTTCTATTTTTGGAGTGTTGCACTGTCAGCCCTGTCCTGAGTGAAATCTCACCGGTCCAAATGAGATGTCCATTTCACTGCACATAACTGTATATTAAACATCAAATATGAATTGATTTGCTGTCACATTACACATCACTTCACTTTCAGTGGGCAGAGACAAATTGCTTGATTTGTCACACCTGGTTAGGACACGGTCTAATAGTCCAGGGAACTTGAGAATTAAGACTGCTTACCTGGCATCTTTTTCTTTAGACCTACTTGGAATGGGTTTGTGCCAATTCATTTTTTAAGAAGATTTTTTTTGAAGCTACAGCTGTCTAATGCTACAAACTTTCTGCACTTGACATGCAAAAACACATTTATTTGTCATCTTCATATCAGAAAATTAACCATGGTTTTACTACAAATAAAACCAAAACACCATGGTCACTATAGTTAAACCATAATAACCACAAATTAACTATGGTTTTGCTACACTAACCATAGTTTAACCATGGTATTTGTAGTAAAACCATGCTTATACAAATGGTAATCAATACGCCAAAAAACATGGTTACTATACTTTTACTACTAATGGTTAATTTTTGTAAGGGATGGAAAAATAACCAACATTACCGGGTGGTTGCTGAAATGTTGGACATCATTTCCCTGAAAAATCAGTTCGATTTTAGTAATCTTATAGAGCAGGAACAGAGCAGGTTGCTTATGAAACCGGTAGACTTTTGGCATAGTATTAGCCTGCAAACAAGCATCTTATTAGCTGAGGTCAAGCACTTGACTCCAGCTCCCTATTCTAATTTATCATCCATAATCATTCATCAACGGTGCTCAGGTCTGGGTTTTGTTCCGGACAGTCAAGTTCCTCACAGGGATGTTGTAATTTCAGAACAGAAGCACAGAATTCTGCACAACTGGACATGTAGTTTACTGCAGCCATACAGTGTTCTTCAAAACCCTTTCAGATTTGGGATCTGCCATTTATCAGAAGCCAACAATGACAAGGCGGAGCCAAGATTTAAACAAATTTGCCAAAGACCCTTACAGAAAACGCCAGAGCTCTGGCAAGGCCAGCACTTTCCACATTATCCAGATTATGTGTTCCTTATAATGGCACAATGATGAAATAAACTGAACATGTTTGTACTCAACGTCCTCATCTGCCGTGATGTTGAATAGTGTAGTAAACCCTGGTAAAGATCAATACATGAGCACATGCATCAGTGATAGAATGGGTGACACTAAACCACAACCTCCCACTACAGCGCACACACACACACACACACACACACATGGTCTGGTCAGCTATCCTTTTGGGGACTCTCCATAGGCGTAATGGTTACACAGACAGACAGTACCTTGGCACTGGAAGCCTTGCTTTCCAAATCCCCTGTAGAGTTGCATTTGAAAAAGACAGAAAAAAAATGTGTTAGTGATAAAGCTGCAAAATATAACTTTTTTGTTAAATGCTTTCCCCTCCCTTTCCTAGGAATTTTCTAATTTTTTAAATGCACAAAATAAACTCTTTAACCTTAATGATTGTAAAGGTTTGAAGGGTATTAAAACTGGATTTAGGTATTAAAATGTGACCAAACATCTGTTCAGCAAATCCAGTTTCATGATGCCATGAAATGGTTTTCTGAATGTGCATTAATAGCTCATTACCATTACCTGTAACTGACAGTCTTTTGTCGAAATGAAACATTATTAATATTAAATATATATCTAAACATTATATATTACTATTATTATTATTATTATTGCAAATGTATGACCATAATAACATAGAAGCCTGTTAGAATAACAGCCTATAGAATGAATGAATGAATGAAAACAATAAATGATGAAATTACACAAAACTGTGATATATAAAATAAAATGGTTTCATGCATGGGACTACAAAATAGCTCCTGTTATTTTTTAACATTTAAGTCATTTTAAAAGTTTTTTCATGCATTATTGAGAAAGATCATATTATGTTTGCCACTATAAAAGTAAGAGATGATTGACACCAGTCAAAATACATTCAAGATTTTATTTTTTCATGCAAGTAATTTTAAGAGGTTTTGTATCATAAAACAAACCTTCCAATTAATTTAGTAAATATAAAACCTAATTAATTTATGCTACATAAATAGAGAATAAGCTAAATAAATACAATGCAACTTTTTCCCTCCTAAGTTCAAGCACAAAATGAAAACGCAAACATATTGCCATCCTAATTTATTCATGTAGCCCATGCACCTCAATTTCCTATGAAAGGCAGAAAATTATGAAAAATAAGTTTTTTTTTCTGCTTGCCTTGCCACTAGAAAAGTAAGAAATGACTGTCAGCTGTCAAACCAAACATCCAAGACTGCAATTTCTCAAAGTTTCACATGTAATGCATGAGTACTGAATGCAAAGCATGTTACCAGATAAAGTCGGTGCAGTGGCTGCAGAATGTGGGCTGCTTGAAGAATCGAGCGATAAATTTGTGGTTTTTAACTTCGTGCACGTTCTTCTTTCGCTGAGCTCCTTTCCGCGCGAATCGATTGACCGCGACGGACGAGTCATTGATCTGTATCAGATGATCAGCCATCGCGCCGCTATTCCTCAGGTGTGTGTGTCTCCTCCGCTGCGCGAGTCGACGCGTCTACTGTACGCGTTCAGCTGCTGCTCTCCCGTTACAGCGCGCGCCTCTCTCACTGACACTGACGTCAAACGCTCTCCATCGTGCCTGTCCACTCGTCACTCAATACGAGGGTGTATGACGCCATCCCGTGGACGAAAACCAGAAACACGTCATCATCTGTACGGTTCCAAACGCGATTATTGGGGATGAAACAGAAGGCGCGTTTCCATTACCCTTCAAATTGCGCAAATTGAAATTGCGAATTGAAAATACGCCTAATGGAAACGCGTCAATATTCGCAAAACTGCAATGGAAACGGCTTTTTCGCATTTACAGGTCACATGGCGTAGGGCCTATGTAAAAAGTCATATGATCATTCTTCAATGTACTATAACCTCCAAGAAACACTTCATAAGTGGCCGCGCTCCAGTATAAGGGGCTTTCCCTACTATTAATGCTTAGACAATTTACACTGCACACGTCTGCGGTGCAGTGTGGCTCTGATACGGTCACTGAAGCTGATTGCGGCCACTCAATGCTTGTGTTTATGTTTTTATACAGTCTACGGTTTATTCCAGCCGCGCCAAGCACGTTTCTGAAGCGGCTCTCTTTGCTGCTTCTGTAAAGATACACGCATAAGCCTCCTTTGAATAAATATATCCAAAATCCGTCAAAATCCCATCAAAATCCGTTGCCATGACTTATCGCAAATTATGTTTTGATATATTTACAGTAGGAAATTTACAAAATATCTTCATGGAACATGATCTTTACTTAACATGCTAATGATTTTTGGCATAAAAGAAATACAATGCAGCCTATTGTTGGCTATTGCTACAAATATACCGTACTACTTATGACTGGTTTTGTGCTCCAGAGTCACATATAAGCACTATTGAGGAGAGTACAAACAAACAAAAAAAATTGTTAAAACTGTGCCCTTATTTAGTACATTTAAGATATTGTGAAATAGCAAGGCCTTCCATTATTTTATATACGTACATGATTTATTTTCTATATTTTTCTATGTATACCATTGGCACCTTTGTTATGTATTTGTTTTCAAGCAATACAAAAAAATCAAACAAACAAATAAATAAATATATAAAACATTTAAATGGCTAAATAATGGATATGTATAGATATAGCCTATTTGTTTGGTCGTGAACTTTATTGTAGAATTGGTATTTGCAAAAACTCAAATGAACTGAATACCTGCAAACGGGTCTACAAGACCAGTAGCCGGTTGCACAAAACCCCTTAAGTTAAGAAAGTTAGTGCTAATTCATGTATAACTAAAACTAACGGTTTTAACCTATTTAAAAAAAATACAAAAAATAATCGTTTGTAAATAAATAAATAGAGCACCCTAAATATCAAACTTAACTACATGGGTTTGTTTAGGTTTGTTTCACCTGCGATTTTATTGTTGCTAGGAAACGGAAACGCTTCTCGCGATGAACGGAATGAAGCCACAAATAGTAAGCTCTTTTCCTGCGTCATGAGGAATAAAATTCTTCAAATTAAAGGTAAAAAGCGCACGTAAACATATCGTAGAAAACAGAGACAACAACTAAATAAAGTTTTCTCGGTGTGAGTTAATGGAAACGCCGTCATTTCGCAATACTTTTTTTATCGACATTTATAAAATATCGCCAAAGTTTTGCGCAAATCTGTAATGGAAACGCGCCTAGAGTCGAACGCTGCGGAACAACAGTCTGTCGACCCATTACTACCATGTTGTAGGCCTACGGCTATCAGAAACCTCTTTTTTTCTGTGGTACTTAAAGAATTAGATAATTATAATGTGACCGTGGACTACAAACCCAGTTATAAGGCTTTCCATTGATGTATGGTTTGTTAGGATAGGACAATATTTGGCTGAGATACAACTGGGCTAAATAATGGATATGTATAGATATAGCCTATTTGTTTGGTCGTGAACTTTATTGTAGAATTGGTATTTGCAAAAACTCAAATGAACTGAATACCTGCAAACGGGTCTACAAGACCAGTAGCCGGTTGCACAAAACCCCTTAAGTTAAGAAAGTTAGTGCTAATTCATGTATAACTAAAACTAACGGTTTTAACCTATTTAAAAAAAGTACAAAAAATAATCGTTTGTAAATAAATAAATAGAGCACCCTAAATATCAAACTTAACTACATGGGTTTGTTTAGGTTTGTTTCACCTGCGATTTTATTGTTGCTAGGAAACGGAAACGCTTCTCGCGATGAACGGAATGAAGCCACAAATAGTAAGCTCTTTTCCTGCGTCATGAGGAATAAAATTCTTCAAATTAAAGGTAAAAAGCGCACGTAAACATATCGTAGAAAACAGAGACAACAACTAAATAAAGTTTTCTCGGTGTGAGTGATATTGCTGAAATTTAAAGCTGTGATGCACAAACTGTTGCAAGGAGCATGTGACTAGCTTGTGTTTAGCAGTTAGGAGAAAATATATAGAGAAAAATATCAATAGTAGCTACAACAGTTAGTCCTCTAATGTTGCTAAACAAATATCCGAATATGTTATAAAGGAGAATATTTGCATCTCAGCGTACAATAAAAAGAAAGTAAAAATTGTACAAAACAAAGTAGTTGTACAAAGTACATCACGGTGACAGATACAACTCTGTTATGTGAGACTTTTATTTTGAAACATTAAAGGCGCGCGTGAAATATGACTTCACAGTTTGTCAGTTTGAAACCGTTTGGGAGCGTAAAGTAGCAACAAGTGGAGGAACAGCGCACAATCACAGCTGCAGAAGACACTATACGAAGACATTATTATCATTCAAAATGATTTAGTGCTCAACAAGTATTTACCGTAGACTTACGTTTACATTAATACTTGCGTTTACATTAGCACTTTATGTAAGCCCATCGCAGAAGTAACGTTAGCGCTTCTCAATATTTGTTGAATGAGTTCTGCTAACTGGTGAGCTAACAAAATGATGAAAAAAGAATTATGTATCTATAAATTATGATTTAATATAAACTATTGCACTACATCACATAGATATTACTAATTATGTATTCATGTCATTGGCTGCATGCTGTATGTTGACAAATAATGACATGTCTGTCATTTATGGCTGTCTGCTATGATAATTAGCTAAAACATGCACCAAAAATACATACCTAAAGTCACATATTGATACAGTAAACTACAGGTTGTTTTAATGAGTCTTTTCATGTATTCAGGAGCAACATGAGTGATCAGGACTGCTTTGGGATTCTGGACTCTGAGTTTGATCATTACCTAGTGGACATGAAGCCATATGTGCTTAAGCTGAATGACAAGACAGGTGAGAATATATATATATAGAGAGAGAGTGCTCTGTCATTTCAACAGGATTTGTAAGGCTACAAATAAGAAAATTCGACTTGAAATTGATCTTTTTCAAAACCACATTTGCCCATCAGAGCGGCAGCAGTGTGCACTGTGGATTAAAAAGTTGTGTGATCCTGAGACCTGCGGCTCTGGACTGACTGGAAGGAAAAATCGTAACATGTACGCCCGACTCCTTCTGCACATGCTCAGAAAAGGAGTTTTAGAGGGTCCCTTTACCCACAAACCTGAAGCAGGCAGCCTCAAGACTTTACCTACGTACATGGTAAATACTGCACTGATACATGTGTTTACCTTGATCTGTATAAGGCAACATAACACCATAAAACATTTTATAGGTCTGAGACCTGGAATCAGTGGTGATTGTTAAGCATTGTGATTTTTTCTGCTTTTAGTCCATTTATTTTGATGAGCCGTTGCTGGCAAAGTCACAGGAGCAGGGATCTGCAGTGCTGCCGGACTGGGTGTCTGGGGAGTTGGGTCAGACTGATGGCTCATGGTCCACCTCACCCCTCTCAAACACACACAGGTATGACACAGATTACAGATCACAGATTAAGCCACCTGTGTTGAGGTTAGGATGTGATGTGATATACAGTATGTGATTGATTAATTGCTTACTTGTGGACAAGCAGTAGGATGGATGAATAATTGTGAATCTTGTCTCATGAAAAGGACCTACATGTCCAGGTCATACTGTATTTCACCCCAAAATCAAAAGGAAATAAAAATTTTTTTTTGATATTTTACATAAAGACATCAAAGCTTATTTTAGTACACAGGCCCGAGTGTATTAAAAATAATATTGATGCTACTACTACTACTAATAATAAAATCAGGAATTAAAGCTACAGATGCTTTAAATGATTTCAATTTCGAAAGTTTGGGGACTGAAAGTTTTATTTATTTATTTATATTTAATTAACAGAAATAAAAAAATTATTCAGAAAGGATGCTTTAAATTAATCAAAAATGACAGTTAAGACATTCATAATATTACAAAATATTTTAATTTCAAATATTTGTTATTCTATTAATAATTTAACTTTCTATTCAACATTCAATGCATCCTGAAAAAAAAAAGTTAATATTAAGCAGCACAAATATTTTCAACGTTGATAATAAGAAGAAATGCTTTCTGAGCAGCAAAACAGAATATTAGAAGGATTTCTGAAAGATCATGTGACATTGAAGACTGCAGTAATGATGCTGAAAAGGTAGCTTTGCCGTCACAGGAATAAATTAAATTTTAAAATAAATTTAAATAGCAAGCAGCTATTTTAATTTGCATTAACAAATTAAGACACAAAAGGTGCATTTCTAGTTTCAACATTACTTATTCTTCAGACATTCCACTTTTAATACAATAAGTATTGGCTGTATACAAAGTGACCCACATTTGGCTTTTGACCACTGAAAATGGTAATATACAACCATCTGAATATGGAGCCTCTCTGGATCTCTGGGACTGAATGATGTAGGGCCTTGAAAATGAAGACTCCAAAAGAAAAGTTTATTAAGAATTAGAATACTTCTTGAGTTATAGGCATGCAAACTCTGGAAAAAGAATACTTATGACACTCAGACATCTGTGTTCAATGCAGTTGTTTTGACAGAAGGAAACAAGATACGTTTCTAGTTTTAATGTTATTTGTTCTTCAGACTTTTCTCTTTAAAACAGAAGAAGTATCATATTTTTGCAAAGTGACCCACATTTGGTTTTTGACCACTGAAATGTGTACAATTTAACGATTTACTCCTGGAGCCATATTGAAATTCCAATATCTCTGGAACCGAACCATATAGGGCCTTAAAGACGACGATGCCGTAAGGGAAGTTTGGTAAGACCCAATATCTAAAACGGCATTAAGATATCTTTAAAACTTTTTGAGTTACAGGTCTGCAAACTTTTAGAGAAAAGTTTTTTTGAAACATGTCCATTTTTGAATGGTCACCATTGGCACATAATGCAACAAAGATTGCTAAAGTCAACAGATTTTACTAATAGAGTTGCCGATCTCTGTGTAAAAATAATATTTTATTGGCTCCTATCAGAAAGGAAAAACTTAGGCGCCAAATTATTTTTTTTAGGTGCCACAGAATAAATATGTTTTATTTATTTATTTATTTGTTACATTTTAACATTTCAATCATACTATCATGTGTTTATGTCTCATCTTTTCTTGACTTTATCAGCATTTTAATCCATATTGTAGATGACCTGGGAACTAAGGTTCACTTAAAGTGGGAACTAAATGTCTTTAAAAGAAAATAATTGTTCACTACATTGTGATCCAAAATATTTTGAAGAACACTGGCTTTCATTGCATGGACAGGAAGAAAGAAAGAAAAAGAACAAAGAGACATGTTTCAAAATGTGTTTATTGTGTTCTCAGAAGAAAGAAAATCAAGCAGGTTTGGAATGGCATAAGTTTTTATTTTTGGATGAACTATCCCTATAATTTGGAGCTTTACACAAGGACACAATGATGGCTCCATTAAAACCAGGCCTGTAGAACATGAAATAGTCAGACCCTCAGTTGATTCTCTCACAACACTTTCATGTTCATCTATGTTTGTTCACTGCACTGATAAGTAGCTTCATGCAGAAGCAGTGCCCTCAAAACTCCACAGAAAGCTCTGCAGATCTCCTCAGAACTGGAACACCTGCCATTCACAAATCTCTACACATCCCCAGACCCACTGTCAACAACTCTGCTGTTCTCTCTGACAAAATCCCATTAAACTGTCACTTATGACTCCTACTGAGCTTCAGCTATATGTTTTCCTTCCTAAAAGCGAGTGGCAGTGTCTTCTCTAAAGTGTAGACCCAGGCATTCCACAACCTTCTATGCCTTTTCCTTTGAGCCAATAGCTCTCCAGCCCCATTTACATCAGTTTGTCACTGGTTCATGCTGACATAAAATCATTTTTGTGTTGCTAAAAGTAAACTTTGTGGAGCGAAAAAGGTTCTATATACGTTGCACCAGCGCACAATCAATGCTAAGTTATGTTGGCAGAAGTCACCAACTCTTACCGAAAATGAAAAAGTTCAGGTTGCTCCAAGTTGCTGTAGGTGTGAACCAGTGTTAATTTCGTTGACGAATAATTTTCGTCATAAATTTCGTCAACGACATTTTTTTCCCCGATGACAACGAGACGATAACGAACTAAAACTCTTGTTGAATGACAAAAACTATGATGTAAATCTATTGACATTTTCGTCAACTAATAAAAACGAGATGAAAATGTTAGGGAGGGATGATTTGGGAAGAGATTCATTCAGAACGAATCTGCTGCGTGGTTTGGAGGTTAGATGCGTACATATGAACCGGCGGGACATAAGCTAACATACACTAGGGATGGGCGATACCTCTTATTTTATTTTCGATCCGATGCCGATATTTTCAAGTCCAGTATCGCCGATATCGATACCGATGCCTCTAAACTAAACTGATCTTTTAAATTATTAAAAGAATATAATCAGTAATGATATTCACTTATTTATCACATATTAGATTTTAAAGCCATGTTTTTAACATTTCATAGGCCTTTTTTGTTTACACTCTCAGAAATAAAATATACTATAATTGTACTTTAGCCCTTTACTGGGGCAGTAACCTCAAAGGTGCAACTATACCCTTAAAAGTGAGCATATTAGTACAAGTATGCATGCTTTAAGGGTAGATAAGTTACAAAGGTGCACCTTTGAGGATACCTCATGAGAAATAAACATGGCGTTACATAAGTACTAAAATGTATTGTTATTATTATTATTACCATGGTAAATTTGTGGTTACTGCAGTTTTAGTACAAATACTGTGGTAAACTGGTTACTGTAATAAAACCATGGTTAATTTTTGTAAAAGGCTGCCAGGCTGTTGTACCCCTAAAGCTGAAACTTTAGCATATTTTTTTCTGACAGATTTATTAACCGCAATTACAGAACATAACACAATCTATTTGAACTTTTAACAACCAGTTTAAATAAATGTACTTGCACAAACTAGCCAATTTAAAATAAATATTACATGTACACAAAAGTTTGGGGTCAATAAGTTTTTTTAAGTCTCATGCTCACCAAGGCTTCACTTATTTGAAAAAAAAAAAGTAAAACAGTAAAAGCAGCAATATTGTGAAATATAACAATTAAAAATAACTAGATTATTCTTATGCTTCTGATGCTTTTGGGAAACAGCCCTATTTAAGCAAGCACTCTGAGCCATGCGTCAGCAGCGAACACTCTCTGTGATTGATTTGTTCTGTCTTTCAGCATTTGCGTGTGTTCTGATGAGCAGGAGAAATGGTTCTATCCAACACAATTATTCGCTAATATATTTAGAAGCTTTTTTTATGCACCGAATTTCTTGATAAATAAATAAAATTAATGGTTAAAAAAATGCACTTTGGAATCGATATTTTTATGTGAGGATCGATCCTTTCGATACAACATAGTATCGATACTTAAGGATCGATCCGCCCATCCCTAACATACACTTACTGCACGTCGCATAAAACGTTAAAAAATGTCAATATGTGGGAGTAAGAGAAGAGCAGACATATGGATAAATCTGACGACGCAAGAGAGAACTCATTTCGGTCCGGTTTTCTGAGCGCAGACACTGAAGCATACACACACAGAAAGTGCGTCTCACAGCGCGCGAGTAGCCTACTCTCTCGCATCACATGAACGGAGAATTACACACAAAATGATGTTGAATTGTGAACGCAAATTTTCTACCAAATTTTCAGCATCATTACTGCAGTCTTCAATGTCACATGTTCTTTCAGAAATCCTTCTAATATTCTGTTTTGCTGCTCAGAAAGCATTTCTTATTATCAATGTTGAAAATATTTGTGCTGCTTAATATTAACTTTTTTTCAGGATGCATTGAATGATGAATAGAAACTTAAATTATTAATAGAATAACAAATATTTGAAATAACATTTTTTTGTAATATTGCGAATGTCTTTACTGTCACTTTTGATTAATTTAATGCATCCTGAACGGAGAATTACACACAAAATGATGTTGAATTGTCCGTTTTGACGAGTATTCACGTAAACAGTTGATTACGTCTTAAGTAAACGTAAACCGTAGGGAGAACGTGTATCAGTACATTGCATCCATTGCAGCTGCGCATTTAAAGGGATAGCAGCCTAATTTAGTTGCTATTGTCCGAGTCATTGATGTTAATCAAGCAACAAAAGAAAGACAGAAAATCACACACTACTCTTGACTGAAAAACTTTAGTAGCCCTGAAGATTAATCTAAATTTTTTTATAGAAATAAATATGTCTGCTTGAAAGAATGAAGAATATGGTAAACAAGATGCTATAAAGAATGCATAATTAACCTATATAACCATTAAAAAGAAGACCATGTTCTTGTTCTTTATGAGAAGTGGTTTTATTTAATGGATTGGGCCTTAGTCAACTAAAATCTTATATTTAGTCGACTAAAACTAGACTAAAACTAAAAACAATTCAGATGACTAAAATATGACTAAAACTAAATGGCATTTTAG